AAATTTCGTACGTGCGACGATAACTACATCCTTACTGATTAAAAAGCAATTTGAGTTTTTAATTTCAGATGATTTAATTTTGAGTTATCGAACCGACCGTGGAGGGAGGAAATTTTCTCCAGTGCTCGACGAGGTTGTTAATAACTTTGTAATAATTAAATATTTTTTAACAAAAATTTAGGGTAATAATCTTTAATGTACACTGAAAAAAAAGTTTTTTTCCACCCAGAATACAAAGTATTTTTATGCAAGTTTTTTTATATCCAATATACGTTTTCTTGATATAAAAAAACAGGTATTTTTCTCCTGAGAATACCTAATTTTTTTCTGGAGCTAAAACTTTATACTGCGTTACCATAGCAACCGCAGCGGTGGCACCGCCAATTCTCTGACTTCCCTCCAATTTCACAGTCCTGGCGTGTTTGTTTAGATCATAGGAAAGTTGTATATACTAATTTATTGTTTATTTTTATTAATTTTCACATGTGGAATTTTTTAATTAAATTTTTTTTTATAATAATTTAATTGCCATAAAATTAAAAAAAAATTTTTAATGTCTGTCAACTTCAGTGTCATTCTTAAATTTAATTATTATAATTTTACTTATTTAATTTTCTTAAATTTAATTATAATTGATAAATTAATAATTATTAATTTATTAATTATAATTAAAAAGATCCACCGTATCATAAACATTTCGTATGCATTTGTGTCAAATGAATGACATTAAAGTTAGCAGTCACTTAACATTTTTTTAATTTTATTTAACGAAAAAATTTGTCCAAAAAAATCATTTTTAAAAAATTGCATTTTGTAGTTTTAAAAATTTTCAAATGTCAATTTATTTTTATAATTTTTTTTGCCATAATTTATTTGTTATAGAATTTAACAAATTATTAAATATATGCTAAGTTAAATGACATGTCAAATGAGGTTAAGTTGGCCATATTTTTATTTTGGTATTTTGCTGAGAAGGAAACCGAGTTTTTTAAAAATCACCATACTTATTAGTGTAGGAAAAAAACTTTGGTATTCTCCACACAGGTATACCAGTTTCTTTACTGGAGGGAAAAATTTCCTAGGTGGAAAAAAACTTTTTTTTCACTGTACCCTTAATAAAATAAAAAAAATCCGATTCCCAAATTCCTTTATTTTCCCTGTCAAAAAAATTCCTGAAAATCACCTCTTTTTTTCGATCGTCACAGTGGTGTTCCCCCTTAAGGTAGTAAGAGCGCTAGGTGGGGTGGGATAGGTATCAACTCTAACGCGGTAAGGGGAAAGCAGTAACCATATGATTTTCCTCAATATATAGATATACATTTAATATTGGTTAATGGCGACATTTATTTTTCTTTTAATTAGTGTAATTTTTTTTTTAATTAAATTTATCACTAATATATTTAATTTCATTCATAAGTTTTTTAAAAATATTCACCGAAAATTTTACGAGAAAATTACAGAAATGTATCAATGTTTGGAAATTACCCCATAGGACAAATGTTAAATTGCTCAATTTCAAAGTTAATTATTTATTTAAATAATCGGGCAATTTCCTTCAAATTGTCGGAATTTATTTGGACATATTTAAACTTGATATTACAAAAAAAATCAAGCCTTTTATTAAAAGTTGCCTTGGTGCTCGTACTACCTCAACATTTAAAAAATTTTTTTTTGATTCTGCTTGTTTTTACGGTGCATTAATACACTTATTTAATAAATCTTTTTAAATACTAAAAAATATTTGTTAAGGACTAAAAAGTCGTCTCTGATAAATGATTTCAAAATAGTAACAAATATTTTTAACTATATAAACAAATCCTTCTATCAGTGTAATATAAACTGTCGTGAAAAACAGAAATAAAGATTTCGATAGCTTTTTTGCCTTAAAAAGTTGGGAAAAATTTTGGCTCTCATGGTTTTAGATAAAATTTATATTTTATCTTTTTTTTTATGTTTTTGATATATATATATATATATATATATATTTTTTTTTAAGTACATAAAAAAACAAATAATTAAAAAAAAAAAGTTGAATATCACAATTTTCTAAAAAATTTATACATTTTAATTAATTTTTCAAAAAAAAATATATCAATGAAATTAAATAGAAATTTCTTTAAAAAAAAAATGAAAATTAAAATGGTTGATCCTGCTTATAAATATTAACCAAATTTTTTTGCTAATTATTGCAAATATATTGTAAGCTTAAAAGTGAAAAAAAAAATTTCAAAAGCCAAAATGACATATGTCTAAAAATGTATACCCTTTAGGCTTTAAAAATTTAGTGATCTAAATTCAAAAGAGCGTAGAAATTTTTAGTGGGATCTAATTGTCTTATTAATCAATTGAGTACCTTTGTCTTCTAGTTGATTTTCATACCCTGAGTATTATTTTGATCTAGCTTTATTTTTCGAGCTTTCTATCAATGTTTTATAATAAAGTAACTATTTTTTTCCAACACCCTTTTAGCATTTGCAAGTGATTTATATTAAAAAATAATGAAATTACCACTCGATCCACCATCACTAGAGCCAGGTGGAGTTAAATTTTGTGGCTTACGTCTCTTCAACATAGCGCGATCCTGCTCACTGTAAAATGGCCAGTCTTCTTGTACGTCGTTCCAGACATGTCTGTGCAAATGATAGGAATTATTACGCACTGTCGATAGAATGCGCAATAAATTCACCATCTCCTTTTTTTCACGATCCTTGAGACCCTCTGAAAATCATCAAATGGAAAATGAATTTCATACATTGATATAAAATTAATTAATATCAATATTAAACAAAATTAAATTATAATAAATTTAAATATTAATAATTATACAAGATGATCAAAATTTGAGTATTTATTTCCAAAATTCTTGCTCAAGGGTTAAAGAGACGAAAAAATTGACAAAGATTTTTTTTTTTTGTAGACATACAATCCTCTATAATTAAAGTCTCTTATAATTTTTTTGTATCTTCAATATTTTAGCCGCAAATAGAATTTTAAACTTTTGAAAACTAGGGACAAATTATATTATTTTATTTTTAAACTTCAAGTCCAAATTTTGCAGAAAAAAAATCGGGAAAAATTGATAAAGTGCTTTTTTGTAGAAAATAAAATTCTTCACACAGAAAAAAAATGTTCTTGATTTAAGAAAATTTTTTTTGATTTAAAGAAATTTCTCTCGGTTCAAGAATTTTTCTCTTGAATCAAGTTAATTTTTTTTTTTTAGTTTATAAGAAAGATTTCTTGTGATTTTTTCATATTTTTAATATTTGACCCATAAATTGAAATTATAACTTTAAACATTAAAATCTTTTATAAACAAATTTAATTTTAAATTAATGAATAAAAAATAATAATAATTTACCTTTATTAAGACGTTCATAAAGCTCAGGCTTCTTGTACGGCCTCAGAGCAAGAATATGGATGAGTCTCTCCCTCAAAGGCCTCTTCAGGAGATCAGAGACTTTTTTGTCCGGCTGAGAACGGGCGGATGGAGTACTCGTCGACTTGAGAAATCTTGCAGTCAGAGCCGCTGCGGTTGCCGAGGACGAGGACAAAGATGGCATCATGGAGTTGTTAGATGACGAGTTCGATTTTTCGAGCTTTCTATCAATGTTTTATAATAAAGTAACTATTTTTTTCCAACACCCTTTTAGCATTTGCAAGTGATTTATATTAAAAAATAATGAAATTACCACTCGATCCACCATCACTAGAGCCAGGTGGAGTTAAATTTTGTGGCTTACGTCTCTTCAACATAGCGCGATCCTGCTCACTGTAAAATGGCCAGTCTTCTTGTACGTCGTTCCAGACATGTCTGTGCAAATGATAGGAATTATTACGCACTGTCGATAGAATGCGCAATAAATTCACCATCTCCTTTTTTTCACGATCCTTGAGACCCTCTGAAAATCATCAAATGGAAAATGAATTTCATACATTGATATAAAATTAATTAATATCAATATTAAACAAAATTAAATTATAATAAATTTAAATATTAATAATTATACAAGATGATCAAAATTTGAGTATTTATTTCCAAAATTCTTGCTCAAGGGTTAAAGAGACGAAAAAATTGACAAAGATTTTTTTTTTTTGTAGACATACAATCCTCTATAATTAAAGTCTCTTATAATTTTTTTGTATCTTCAATATTTTAGCCGCAAATAGAATTTTAAACTTTTGAAAACTAGGGACAAATTATATTATTTTATTTTTAAACTTCAAGTCCAAATTTTGCAGAAAAAAAATCGGGAAAAATTGATAAAGTGCTTTTTTGTAGAAAATAAAATTCTTCACACAGAAAAAAAATGTTCTTGATTTAAGAAAATTTTTTTTGATTTAAAGAAATTTCTCTCGGTTCAAGAATTTTTCTCTTGAATCAAGTTAATTTTTTTTTTTTAGTTTATAAGAAAGATTTCTTGTGATTTTTTCATATTTTTAATATTTGACCCATAAATTGAAATTATAACTTTAAACATTAAAATCTTTTATAAACAAATTTAATTTTAAATTAATGAATAAAAAATAATAATAATTTACCTTTATTAAGACGTTCATAAAGCTCAGGCTTCTTGTACGGCCTCAGAGCAAGAATATGGATGAGTCTCTCCCTCAAAGGCCTCTTCAGGAGATCAGAGACTTTTTTGTCCGGCTGAGAACGGGCGGATGGAGTACTCGTCGACTTGAGAAATCTTGCAGTCAGAGCCGCTGCGGTTGCCGAGGACGAGGACAAAGATGGCATCATGGAGTTGTTAGATGACGAGTTCGAGGAGAGAAACGACGAAGATGCTGCTGAGGGTTGGGAAGATAACGCTGAGGAAGATTGAGAGTTAGCAATGGAATTTTTAATGGTAGGTCTACTAGTTGAATTTGGAATGCTCGTATCACGGTGGTTGTTGGTATGCCTGGCGTTAGAAGGCGCCGCTGCTGTCTTCCCGGCTGATTTCACCTTTACTTTTCGTCCGATGTCTGGTCCATTTGCTTTTAACAGTACTCTGGTGCTAAAATTTATAATTATTTTAATTGGTTTTTTATATTAATAAATTCAATTGTGATGAAATAATATTAACTAGCAATCTTGCAGTCACTATGTGACTGCTGTGACTTGTGAAAAATAAAAAATTAAAATATTGCTTTATTAAATAATGAATTCTGTTGAATTGGACTGTACTTTCTTAAATATTGACATTTTTAAAGATATAAGCTCATCCTGATGTTTCATTCATCAAGAGCTTTCATTTGAGTACCCACATGCATTTTTGATATATTTTTCATATATACATATATATAATATATATAAAAATATGAAAAATTGATGTAGGTACTCAAATGAAAGGTCTCGATGAGTGTAATCTCGGGGTGAGCTTATATTTTTGAAAATGTCAATAGTTCACAAGATACAAGGTCATTTTTTAATTATTGATATTTTTAAAGATATAAGCTCATCCCAATGTTACACTCATCAAGAGGTTTCATTTAAGTACCCACATGTATTTTTTATATATTTTTCATATATACATATACATAATATATATAAATATATAAAATATATGAAAAATTGATGTGGGTACTTAAATGAAAGGTCTCGATGAATGTAATGTCGGAATGAGCTTATATCTTTAACAATGTCAATAGTTTACAAGATACAATGTCATTTCTTAATTATTGATATTTTTAAAGATATAAGCTCATCCCGAGGTTACACTCATCAAGAGCTTTCATTTGAGTACCTACATGCATTTTGGTATATTTTTCATATATACATATATAAAATATATATAAATATATGAAAAATTGATGTGGGTAGTCAAATGAAAGGTCTCAATGAGTGTAACATCGAGATGAGCTTATATCTTTAAAAATGTCAATATTTCAGACGACAGAAGGTAATTTATTAATTATTATTTAAGAATATTTAAAAAAATTTTTACCACGAATTAGATTTTACATAAAAATAATATAAAAAGGACACTATTAAAATGAAAAATTATCGCTAAACTTATCAAAATTTTTTTTAATCGACGGCTTACTATTTTTACACCAAAAAGATAATGATTTTTCTTCTTGATGTAAGATTAAAAAAATTGAAAATAGAATAAATACTAACCACTTGTTTTGATTATTCTCTGCACAAACAGCCATTCTATGCCTTGTTTTTTCATAGACATCTTCATTAGCGTGGATACGCATTTTATATGGCAAGGTTCCCAGACTCTCCAAATTACTAAAAAAAAAAAAAAAAATCGAAAACATTAATCAGTAATACATTCAAAGTTATATTAAAATAAATAAAGTTTGGAAAATCCAAAAGTGCACGACTCATAATGCTCAATTAATTATAAAATATTAAAAAAAAAAAAAAAAAAAAAAAA